GGGGGGGGAGAAGGGGGGGGAATGGTCAAAGTAACCTATGATCTTTCCATAAACGAAACACCTATATGTACGTGTGTTCCTGACTGTTTGTCCCCGTTTGTCCCCGTTTGTCCCCGTTTGAGGCCGTGCACTGCATAGAGATTGCATTTGAAGCCATGCATTGCATCGAGATTGCATTTGAGGCCATGCATTGCATAGAGACTGCCTTTTGCAGCTTGGAGTTTTTGCCATTCTTTCAGCCCTTTTTTTTCCCTACTTTTATTTTTTTTTGGGGGGTGGTGGTGGAGGGGGGGAGAGAAGGTGATGAATTCCACGTGGATTACATGCATGCATGCATGCATGCACGCATATACGTACTTGCCTCTACGTGGAGAATCGCATGTGCCAGGACATAGGCTTGGAAATAAATTTTCTCCTCAAAAAAGTAGTTTTCATTGTTTTCGAGTAAATGTTTTTGTTTTTTTTTTTGTTTGTTTTACGACTGTTTGTGACGCTTGGCGTTGTTGGTAGCCTTTCGCTGAAGAGAAGACGTCAGTTTAATCGCCGTTTGTGTCCGTTTGTATCCGTTTGTGGTCGTTTGTGTCCGTTTGTGTCCGCTCGTGTCCGTCTGTGTCCGTTTGTGTCCGTTTGTGACCGTGGTGGCCGTGTTCCGTTTGTTGACGTTTGTATCTGGTGTGGCCGTTTGCGGCCGTTTGTGTCCGTTAGGGACCGCTTTTAATGATATGATGATCGACTGCAGCCTTCTGTCCGTTAGCGCCTCCGTTTGTGTGAGCGTGTGCACGAATTACAGTTAACAGTTTGGCGGCCGTTCTCCGCTTTCATTTTTTTCATATATTAAACTATTATACGCCTTGCCGTTTGCTCCTGTTTGCACCCGTTTGCGGTCCGTTTGCGCCCGTTCGCGTCCGTTTGTGCCCGTTTGTGGCCTGAAGAAAGGACGGGCGCATGTATGGAGCCTTCCCCCAGGGGGGGGGGGACCACTTAGGGCCTCGTCACACCACTGTCGGAACGAAAAACGTTACAAATGCATGTTCCCACAGAACGTGGCAAGATGCATCCGTTCCTATGAATAGCACCAGATGCATCTGGCCACTTTTTTGGGAGGCGGCTCTGTCGACCTTCTCATTATCATTATCGAGGGAGGCCGATCCCGTGATTGCATATTCGCCGGCGCCGAAGGCGCCCTTGTCGATGCACTCGTGCTTTTTTCGTTTCGACAGTGTTGTGGCGAGGCCCTTCACGGCGATGCTCTTATCACGTCGGTAAGTGGCTGACCTGTGAAGAAGTTTATCCAAAAAAAAAGAAAAAAGAAGAAAAAAATAGAAGGACGCGCAGAATTTACAAATTGGGCCTGCTCGAACCATCCTCCATGGCGTCCTTTTTTTTTTTTTTTTTTGAGCCCTTTGGTTGACCGATCGATCTCAAAGGGTCCAATCAATGTTT